GCCCCTCGGTATTACCGATGAAGGGTGTGGGTACTCTCCCCGAGAAGCACGTCGCGCTCACCGCAACCGTTCGCGCGTGTAGCGCTGTGGAAAGAAACCTTTGAATTCTCAGTGGAAGGGTCCTATAGTGGTCGCAGAAGCACTGCAGCTTGCAATGGGAGTTCGGGAAGAAGTACCGCACGACGTACGAACGTTCAGATAGACATTCTGTTCCGTCAAAGGTGTGTGGTTAAAGTTTGACGTGTCCCTTCTATGCACTGTGCAGGAGTGCAGAGACAGTCAAAATTCGAATATACAGCAAAAACAATAATTTGCACATTTTTTTACATGTGCACTGTGCGGGAGTGCAGCGATAATCAAAATTCGAATATACAGCAAAAACAATAATTTGCACATTTTTTTACATTACGGGAATGTCACAACAGGAAATTCCGCCACAAGTGTACTTGGCGAATTTGTCGAACAACATGCCACTTTGATCATCTTTCAACTCATCAAATTCTATCACCAGGTACCTCGTCTCCATGATTACAACAACATTCCAACATCGTTTACAGTTATAACACGCATATTTACACAGTGTTGTAAAGTTTTCTCTTCTCATTCAACAGATCTCTGGTCCACTTTTTTTCTGTCCAGTCCGTAGTTTCCTTTGACTTTGTTCAGGTTCGAGCGTGGGAATGAGGAACAGGGTTGTGGTCACAATCCCCACGAAGAGGTGTGCGTGAGATTCCCAGTTCCTGTTTATCAATACCGACAATAGTCATATGTATATTAACTGTGGAGTTTGTTGTTCCTAGTAGTGAGATTCCCAGTTCCTTTTTATGAATACCGACAAAAGTCATATGTATATTAACTGTGGAGTTTGTTGTTCCTAGTAGTCAAAAGATGGTTTTGTGTAGGATACTCCAACAGCAGTTTGAACCTATTTCTCAAAAGTCCCCGTGTTTGATAGGAGACCCCGTGCCCGATAGGTGGCTATGATCTTGTCTGTCTAGTCGGAAAACACTAACAAGAATGGGAAATTCGTGCGATGTCGTTGAAACAGAACGCATTCTCCCAGCATTTTGGCAGGTAAACACTGATGAACTAATGGGAACCCATTCCACTCGATCAGGTTGGTAGATTCGATGGTGGGAGATCCTCCTCATTAAAGACAAAAAGTCATAGACGGAAGTGTAGAACAGGATAACTACGTGTACTTCTTGTTTACTATCGCACGCTCGAATTCACTTCTCTTTGATTTCCAGTTCCTTATTTTTACCAAGAAGGAAGGCGCTAGGCGCTCCATTAAGGACTATAGACAAGGAAAATCTCTTGATTCTAGTTCCTCAGAAAGAAGTCAGGAATCTACTTGAAATGAGAGATAGTTCCGTCCAATACGTCCTTCTCAAGCGGCAAGCCATTGACTCCACGACAAGTACATACTACTTTGTACTTTTGTTTACATCGTTGTTCGTTGGTTGAACTTTCTAAAGCCCCACGTAGTTTCCTCTGAGACCCCTCAAGAGCTTCAACACTCAGTGTCTTGGCGAAGGAAGTATGTCCAAGTCGCAATCTAAACAAGCGAAATGGCTGTCAGAGTGGAACCGTAACTGTACTCTGTACCGTCTCACTAACTCTACAGTTTCGAACAAAGACCTGGTCGAAATGCAAGTACATATGGTTGAGTACGAATGCATCAACCTCAAAGTGAAAGAGAACACCCAATAAGTTCCAGAAAGCTGGAGTTATAAACGCAACTGTCATGGGTCCCCTTGTATGCGGCTTTTTCTGTCATGGCTCCCTGAAGGGTCAAAAACCGGTGAAGCTCAGGTTCCGCAGACCATGTTTTCGTGTTCCCTAGACGTCATTGTTCATTGCTTTTTCCCAACCAGTAAGGCAAACATTCGAACGACAGCGATGTGAGACCTGACTTCGAACTTGACTTCGAAGGGGCATTGTACAAAACTCAATTGCTGGGAAGATGCTATGCTTTATTTGAGGTTACTATAAAACTGATCCACCCCTCTCTGTGTCAAGGCGTAGTTACTCTTCCGCTAACGTAAAGCTGCCTAGGCGGTGTAGCTGTTGGTAAGGCTACAGAAGAAAGCCTCACACTTCATCACCACCACTTCACGTATGCCTTTGAACCTGCGGCAACTCTCATATTCGTCTACACATCCGGTGGGAAGAACACCGGTTGGAGGGGCTTGAGTGGGTTCGAGTGAGCCTGTTGAAAGGATAATCAGATGTAAGCATTGGCCTTTGATGTCAATGGCTTGGCTTTCTGGTCTAATTGAAGATCTAATTATGCAACTCGTTAGCCAAGAAGCATGACTTCAGTGACTGCCTTCTTCGACTTGTCATAAAACTATAACTCACTGCAAGAACAGAAATCATTGTGACAAGACCTCTTTAAGTTAGGGCCACCCAACTGTTATACCATGGTTTCAGTGATAATTTTAGATCTTTCAGACAGAGTTCAAATTAAACTTCAAACGCGATCAATAGCTTGCGGTTGAAGTTCGGTTTGAACTATGGGTGTATGTTCTTTGAGCTAAGTATGTACTTATCAGCTGATTTGTGATTTGATACTTAATCCTCTCCTACTGCTCGTTACACAGGCGCCACAGGCCGAGGATACGATGAAAGGGATGAGCTAAGCTATGTAGGGTGTGGATAGGGTGGTCTCCCATCCACACCCTACACAGAAATCAGCAAGCTAGATTTTTATCAGACCAGTTCATTGGTTTGCCAGCTTCTTGTTCCCCACTCCTCTCAGTTTTCTTTTCGCAGAGGATCACATTTGTAGGCTCCCCACTTCTATTCCTTCGTTGCTCTCGAACTATCGAGGCCACTACTCTTAGAGTTCAGTTTCCAGCTGTTCCCACATGAATTGAACAATCAGTAATAGAGCTGGTTCACAAAAAAAACCATCGATTTCTGGCCATTTAGTGCATAAATACAAAGCAATGTTCCGCTAATGATGCATCGTTAGAACAAAGAAAATGGTAAAATCGGACGAGGTTCGAGTTGTTTCAGAATAATTGGAAACGAACAGGAGGGTTCCCTGAGAAACTGCGAAAGCGGCTTGTCTCGGTAAATATTTCCAAGAAGTAGAGTCAATATTGAAAACAAAAGAACTCTGCTTCTTTTGAGTACAATTCAAGCACTGTTAAACGAAAATAGCCCAACTCCGTGACATTTTAGATGATGGATTCATGTTCAACGCAGTCGAAGCTGTTTTTCTACAACTTCTTTAGCTGTTTAGTCTTCAAATTCGCATCCGTGACCGAATGGGCAAAAAAAAAGATGTCACCACATCACAGAAATGTCAACACTGAAGGTGTGCAGTCTTTCAGTGNAAGCGGCTTGTCTCGGTAAATATTTCCAAGAAGTAGAGTCAATATTGAAAACAAAAGAACTCTGCTTCTGTTGAGTACAATTCAAGCACTGTTAAGTGAAAATAGCCCAACTCCGTGACACTTTAGATGATGGATTCATGTTCAACGCAATCGAAGCTGTTTTTCTACGAATTCTTTAGCCGTTTAGTCTTCAAATTCGCATCCGTGACCGAATGGGCAAAAAAAAAAGATGTTACTACATCACAGAAATGTCAACACTGAAGGTGTGCAGTCTTTCAGTGATGGCCCGAGTATTCCAATTATTGAAAGTATTGGGCACTTAAGTGCATTTTTGATTTGTTTCAATGAACTTCAGGTGTTCCAGAAGTCGGTTGGTCTTCAGCTCCGATCTTTTTTTCTTTTCAGCAGCACCATTCCAGTGTCATACCAATTCCATTCGAACCAGACCGTAAGGCGACACAAATGGAAGGTGGTCTGGACATTTGGAAGTTCAATCATGCCAAGATGAACTTCATGATAAGTTCTAGGTGGCAAAGTTTGCTACTCTTTGTCGCGCCATCTTAGGCGTTTCCTTCCTGTGAGTAACCCACGCAAGCCTCCCCTCACTCGGTCCCTAAAATGATGCACTGTCTTTGGACGCCCGATCATTCAGCAAACAGAAACTTCAGTGTCACGCCAATTCCAATCGAATCAGACCATAAGGCGACACAGCTGGTTGGTCGTAAATGACCGTAATCAACACGACCTGCTGACTAGCCGCAACCAGTAGCCCAGACAACTTCCGTCAACTTCGTCCCAAGACGAACAAAAGATCACCTCTACACCTAACCATCATACGATGGCAATACTGCGTAATCAACTGGTTAGCTACTGATCGAAAACAAATACAAACAAACACAAATGCATCATAATAATTTATACATATGATTGTTGTACAATGAGAAACCCATATTGGTCGAAGAGCAACAGCAAAATTTTCAAGATATGAGACAAATTATGTTAAAGCAAGTAAGTGATCAGTAGTTATTCGTGTGGAATACATGAGCAAGCCTGAGAAAATGCTCTCTGCTTCCCCAATCGGACCCGGTTTCGTGGAATGCTTGGCTAGAGCCTGAAAGAAAATCTGGTTAATATTACAATTTCGACAGATTTCATTTCTATCACAATACAATCTATATTTGTATTATGCACAGCTTGTTCTCTTACAGTAATAAAAGATACCAATGGGCGAATCAGTGATGTGGGCGAGAAAAGACGTCACTGGTATTCCATCGGAAATCGCGGGGGCGCCCATATTTATGCAGGCACGAATGACGTAGAGAAAACGGGCAAAATCCTGGCGCTCCCCAGTTGATCACGGAAATTCCATGAATAACGATGCTCCATGCGCATGCGTCATGGTATGCAAACGAAGCCCACACGAAACTACCGGGAAACTGTCCTTCAAAGGCCTCGAGTGACAACTTTCACTTCAGTGGAATCAGAACTAATTCGTAATGGTGATTGTCCGGGGCAGACACTGCCTTTCCCATTCAGATTAACTATTTCTATTTATTTCTTCCCAGTCTCGCCCGACAGTTATTCAGGTGATAGGACATTTCAACGACAGGTGACTATCACTTTTCAAGGAAATGTGCGTATTATTTACTCAAAAGGGAGTCCGGCTCATGGACAGGCGGCGCAGCAGGTGATGACCCACGTGACAAAGGTCAGACTACGTCACACAGGGATGAGGCTACTTCCATTCGAAGAATAATCAAATTGTTGTTTTGAACTATGTCTCAATCTCCTCCTTGCGAGTGTGCTATATGGAAACGTTTTGTTGACAGCTTCACGTTCCTACATCCTCGCTCGGTTTAGAGGCCTAAAGACGGCTCGAAGCACTTGAATGCCATTTTCCAGACGAATCGCTTGCCCTATAGCGTTTTAGAGAGCGCTCACAAAGTGTTCTTAACGCTCACAAAAACCCCATTGATAAGGTGTTTAAAGGGGTACTCCGTAAGCCATTTTCAGCCCTCTGATGTTTATGTCGGCTCAAACAACAATGAACGATTTCAGTGAGAACCTCATTCCGCAAGGGGAGAAACAGACTACGCCCTTGAAAGAAAGGACGCCATAGCGATATGGTGGTTGTTTGCGTCGGGAAACAGAGATCACATCCCTAAACAGTAAACAGCGAAGTGCGGGAATAGCGAGCTCGCCAGACGACAATATTTACTAAATCAATCGGGGAACTAGACACTACTGTTGTATGATCCCTTGTTTCGTAATAGTTCATACTCCTCGTTGTTAGCAAAGGACCTCCGAGGATCGATCCCCCTCTCCCCCCTTTTCGCTCCCCTTCAGAGAACAAGCTGTGGTTGAGTAGCCCCTAGGGTTATAAGGATCTGAACTTACATGAAGTATTATGCGAATCTTGAGATGATGATAGACTCTGTTGCTGCTTCTCCGTCGTTGTCGGTGTTACCACCACTATAATAATGGATTATCAGATGAGATGCTGCACGATAGCATTGACCAATGCCCTTATATAGGATAGCGAGGCCCCATTTAGGTAAAAGTTCATAGCCTATGGATAAGGACCCCATTAATGATACCTTACTGGGACCCATTACTAGATTCGAGCTTAAAAGGTTGCTTAAAGGTGGCCCCTAGGTCTCAAAATAGCAATTTTTCGAACCCACCAGACTAGCTACGAAGAATTTTCAACTTACTTTGAGAAGCACGGTTGTGGAATGTCTTCGAAAGGAGCTGAAAGATTGAGGTGTCCTTCGCAGTTGCTGACATCATCACTGCAGTCGTATTTAGAGCTTTTGCACTTGTACGAAATTAAGATCTGAAATCATCACATTCACTATGATCTGGTACTGTAGGAATGTTAACCAATTAGCTTACCAGGAATATGAGCACGGGGAACTTCGCACGAGTCAGCACCCAAACGATCTACGCAAAGGACACGAAGAACATAATATATACTTCTCAACAAACTGACGGTCAATCAACCTGAAAATGTACTTCTGAATGGAGCCATATAGTGAGAAAATACGAGAGCAACCCTACCACGTGGAGGGAGCGACGGAAAATGAACGAAGGGCTGTCTTTCAGATGTTTACCACAGAACGACAGCGCCGGCAAAACGTATATATGCGGTTCAGCACGTAAGAATAAGAACAGGTGACAATGTAATGCGTGGAACGCTACGAAAAGATGGGGGAAACCCCAAGCGACGACGTGCACGTGGGCATGTCAATCAGCACATTGAACGTTATCTTTCAGAAATAAAAAAGGTGAGCGGACAGCTGAAAACAAATTGCCCAACCCGAGAGGATAAAAACCTGACGCAGGCGAAGCAGAAACACTCTGGGTCTGAAAATGCGAATCCAAACAGCTCCCTCCCCGTCTTTGGCGTCACGGATTTCCCCACATCCCTTGGAACGATCATCAGAACTTTGGCGAATACTGTACGCTCAATGAAAGGAGGAGATAGGAGTAGAGGTTAAATATAGTTTAGGAGAATAGCAAGTGCACACTGGGAACGGCATAGGGAGGACTGATTAGAAGGGCGAAAATACCATCTTTTATACTGTTCTTCAGTGGTCTTTCGAACTCCGTGTGTTTCTTTGATCTGATAGTCTTTGATCTTTTGCTTCCTCAATTAATGCGTCCTCTATCGCGAATGATCCGAATACGGTAGCGTTCTCCTTTGCGCATTTAGCTACGATCGCAGCGCCACGCCCCATCTGTACGAGATCTGAGAGAAATCAAAGGCAGACATGGAGGAGCAGACCGTTCAGCCAGACGGTTTCTCGCCAAAGGTAAGTTTTTACTGTTTCCTATGGGTAGCACCTTTAAGTGGCATGAAAGTCCCTGAATTCTTAGAGTGCTATTTGCACGAGCTCCAACCCACAAAATCTTCCGTGTTGCATTTGGTTACTGCAGTGATCACCGAATAAAAAACAAAATACGAAGCACATCAAGAAGTTTGCTTGAGAAAAATAAGGAAAAACGACTTTTCAGAGTGAAAATTGGAGAATGAAAGACAAAATCATGATATCCCATCCCATCGCCAGGAAAGGAAAGTTTGCACTTGAACCGTTCAACGAGACAAATTCGGAAGTATGAGCTTAATACGAAGGGTAACGCAAACACCCTCAAGAAAAAGTATAATGTGAGAAGTGACTAGTGAGGACCGCCCACGTCGCACCGTCTACGTCAGCGGGGGCGCAAATCGATAGGGGCCGAACACGCGCCCCACTCAGGACTACAATCTTCTGGGCGTACTTTACGAATTTGGTTGGCACGCAATAATCCCATGGCAGATGGTTGAAGTGGTGCTGGGGACAAAGGGCTATTCCTATCAGAACGATGTCGAGGTGACAGCCCCACCATTGTGAAATTTGACAGTTGTCACTCATCAACGTCCCAAACATTTCACGTATTGGAGGTTTATTTTTAAATCTATAGCAGTGCTTAAAGTGAAAGTTCAATGGGCACATGACCACGTTGAACGTTGGGTTCCTCCCCTCCTCAGTAGTCCTACCACAAAATCTGAAAAGACTGACGAGAACGGTTATGACTGGAACGTTCTGGGAGGTGGGAGGTGGAATTGCAGTTTGGGGGAATCCCCGACGACTGGTTCGGAACGTCAGCGACTAGCACGCCAGTGAACGAGAAGCGATGATTCGCCCTACGCAGTGTGATAGAAAGAATATAGTGGGTGCATGTGGAGAAATTAGGGAGAGACGGCGGAGAATGAGACTACACGGCGGTCAGGGAACTGCCCAAAGATCTTTTGTAGGATCACCGAACGGATTGGACTTTGGATTTGGGCTGTTTGGATTTCGGACTGGTTGAGTTGATCACCGACAAATTCTCATTTGGAAATCCCCGAGCGAGGTAATATTCTTAGAAAATGTGACTGCTCCCAAATAGGGAAGAGAGATGGGGGAGAAAAGAGGGTAACGTGAGAGGGTCCATTTCAGTGCCAAGCGTCCAAAGGCTCCTGAAGGGCATGGAAAGGACGAGGAGCGCGTGATTTTCAGGGAACTTGGTTAGGACGTGTGTATACGTGTTTCATCGCACTTTTCTCGTTGACGTCACCGGTACACTCAGGTCAAGCCACGCTTGAGAGAACGCTCACGGGCGAAAAAGCTCCCCCTCTTCTCAGTTCCCCACACCCTCTCATCCCTCTCCCCGCCGTCCCAGTTCCTCTCCTTTACAGTCGTAGTTTCTCAACACGACAGCCACATTCACCCACTTTTACCGTTCTACCCATGTCTTGATGAACTGTCCCTCGTTGCAATATATAAACGACGTGCAAGCATCTACACATCTATTTTTTCAACGATTTTAGCATCGGCGGGGTTTTTATAACGAAATCACACAGCGGAGTATTCACACAAAGAAATTAATCAGACACCATAGAGACGGATATGACAGATTAGGTTATCAAGATCACATAGGCACCCGGACACCGCATAAAGCGAGGTTCCGTTGGGTAATTACACATGTGGTTCGAAGGCGCTACAGAGAAGATACTAATGAATTTCTGATCATCATGAATTACTGGTAGAGTTCTACATACGATATGGGAAACACTTGAAAAGGCTAGAGGACGAGCGTCGTGGGTTCGGGGAATCCCCGTCAGGCGTTTTTTTATACGCGGAGGAGAGATGCGTGACAGGCGCACCCTGTGGGACCGCCCCCATAGGCTCGTGATAGGCAGAAATCACATTGCATCATGTAGACGTCAGGCACGAAAACTTCGTATGAAATAGTCTTTGGTCAGACCGGTAGTATGTCTACGCTGCGGAAGTGGGAGGAGATAGGCCCTACGAAGTGGAAACACAAGTTTCATGGGTGAACCATTTACTAAAGTATCTACCTTTTCTACATCAACAAGGGTTGGACACACCCGAATAACATTTTGAAGAAAAAAGGATCATTTAATATCCTCTGTAATCGGCGATGAATGAGGCTAAGCAACTGCGAGAATACTATAATGTCTTAGAAAAGGGTAGAAGTTACACAAGCTAGAGGGGTCGCTGGACCAACGGCCGCGGAATGCTGTTATCTCCCCTCCCACGAGTCAGACCATCGGTCAGGCTAGGTTTCGAAGACTGACAAGCTCCGATCTGCCTGCTTAACGAGCGACCACGAGTTGAATCATTCTTTGTTTGTAATCTTTGGAGCTTCAGGAGATCTCAGAGATTAATCTGATCACGGCAGATGGTAAGAGATTAGGATTAGAGGTAAGAGACGTTTTTGAGAACTGAGTATTAGGCAACGCGGAAGTATGGAGTTCTCATCGTCCTAGGCAGCATTCAGTTGCCCGTGCATGACATCATTTTACGTTTATAGCCTCAACCTGCAGCTTGACAACTGTCCTAGAGTAAATAAAGACAGTTGTTGTGCAGTTTTCTTCTTGGAGTGAAAAAACCCGGATCAGTGCAGGAGAAACTGACGCTTCGTCATCGAACAAAGTTCAAAGGTGACGGCAGCTCAGTTTTTGCAGCCGTTATCCTCCTCGAAATCTATTTCTTGTCATTGAAACAACATTACACAATTCTCAAGAACCAACAATCATCGGCAAGGTTCTGCAGGATGATGCTTGAGGTGATTACGTAAAGCTCCTTCACAGCAAGAGGATACCGAAGGCAGAAGTAGGAGAAAATATTGAAGGAGCGGTAAGTCACGGGCAGCTCTTTCAGTTCGATCAGTACTATATAGTCATACCTTATGACGTTATTAAAGGCTTTCAAAGCGGGTAATCACCCCAGTATCTATATCGAAGTTAAACTGAATAAACAAGCACACCCACACACACAGACAGGCAGACCAGTAGACACACCTGGCGCGTTATATATAGTAGGATATCATCACATATTGACCTTGGTGCACTGTCCAATTTCCTAAATGGTCTATTCAATAAATATATCGAAATGAATGACATAAAGATGAAATCATCTATGTAAGTGACGTGAATTTGGCGAGTGTTTTCCCGGATCCGAAAAAACGATGATTTTTCCCTATTCCGGCCAAAATTAATTCATTAACGAACAGGTTATGCGAGTTTATAGTTCGCTCTATTCTCGTCGCCTCTGTACCATGACCTTTCAGTGTTCACAAAGCGATCGATGACGTATTCGTTCTTCGTTTTTGAAAAGTTCACCTCAATGAAGTTCGTCGGCGAATTTCAAATGCTGCTATCTCATCTGATCCGCCTTTGAATAGAATATAAGATAAGAACGTATTATACAGCGAGGCGACGTTGATTGATACCCCTGAAATGCACCAGCATTCGACCTCTCCTCATTATCAGGTAGGCAGTAGTTTACATAGCAATATCTCAACAAGACGATGTTTTCCTTCCAAACGAACAGTTATGAGGGGACGGAAAAGGTTTCGGTAACCCAGAAAAAACAGAAATACGACTTTAGAATTTACCAGAGAAAAGTCAAATTCCTACAAAAGTTCGGATGAAGGCGTAGATACAGCGCAAGGTTATTGTGAATATGAAAACTAAAATTGCTGAATGAACTTTCGAGCAGGGTATGAGAGGCCATCCGTTTACAGTCTGAAAGAGTAGTCTATCTCTGTTTGCAACACATCATGATAGGGTTCTCGCCCGTGCGACGACAAAGTGGATTTGACAAAACTTCTATCGTCAGTTTCCCCCATGGTACGCTTCCTTTCCAGCGAAAGCTTCGACCACATCTCCTGATCCTTCGTTTTGTAAAAATTATGGGGCATAGCGATAATAAAATTTAATAATAAATAATAATGAGTTC